TCAATGAGCTAAATATGTCAATTTTTTTAATAGTTTAGAGTAATTATAAGGTCTATTTTTTTTGCCATCCAGTTTCAAGGCTTCGCCCTGATTAATTTAGATCGATTCGGCTTGCACATCTGGTTTTGGTGAGTGAGTATCATAGCGGAGATTTTCTACATACACAATGACTCGAACCTGATATCTTACATAAGCGATATAAAACTGGTTACCACTTGAACTAGTCACGTTGGTATAATGTAGTATTTATTCAGATTTATTCTTAGCCTATAATAACGCATACTCAATATGCAAACACAACTATTCAAACTCAGATTTTTTTAAAATATTACTATTTCTTTCTTTCACCGAGACCACTTAATGATTCATTAACATATCATATCCTCTCTTAATGGTAGACAACGATAGAGTCACAAGAATATAATTATTAACTTCCTTTTATAACTTTTGAAAGTTTAATGACCAAAACGATAAGAAGCTTATATTTCGAGGAGTACTGGTGTACTTTACCAATTCGACAAAATCTAATGCATTAAAGAGAGACCATCGATCAATTGAAGGAATTGATATTGTAGAAACTGTACGAGGTTCATCTAATCTTTTATCTTAACTATTAAGGGAAACCCCAAAGACATTAACTAATCCTATTTATTACCCTAACTTAAACTACAAAACCAAATTAGTCCCACGAATATCATCGCATCACTGATATATTCAAAGAACCAACTAATATTTCTTTTTAAATTTTAAGATATGGAAATTCTATTTTAAAATAACTTATTTACCAACAAAAAAAAGTAAGCAAACCCCGTTGGAATTAGGACATTTGCTTGTGTACATAAACACCAGGTCGGTACGGAGGTCCCTTGAGATGAAAGTTTTCCCCACATATGATCCTTGGCGCGTGAGATATACTCCTGGATCTTACGTGACCAAAGGACTGGCCTTTTTTCTGAGGTGTTTCCTTGACGAAGCGCGTTATGACACGCGCGTTTGGAGATCGTGAACATTGAGGTAGCTGAGTTTTTGGACATACGAAAAGAAAAACAGAGTTTACTTCCTTGGATCAGATTATCAGAAAAAACAAATCGTAAAGATTGAAACTTCAATGTTAAATCTAACCCGAAAAATAAAAATAAAAAAAAACCCTAACCCTAGTTAAATCTTTCACCTTCACACATTTTCAATTCATCATCGGAAAAAATATTGGAATTTTACAAAACAATCAAAATAAAAAGAGAGCTGTAATCATTTTCATTGTCATCACAGAGAGGGAGAGAGATTTGAGCAACAAAAACAAAAACAAAAAAAAGCCTTTACTGTGCTGATCCAAAGATCTGAACTTTCTTTGTTAACATATTCAGAATCCATATTAAACCCAGATTTCCTCATTTGACCAAATAAAACCCATACGCTCGAAAGTCAATCTTCGACTCAAATTTCACCACAAATTTTGAATTGCCCTTGAAAACAGTATTGCTATGGGAGCTGAAAAGAAATGGTTTTCAGTGTTTTTTCCCTTACATTAATCACCGTTCTCCTCCTAGTGCTTTACTCGATCTCAACTTTCAGCTCCCCCAGACCTTTCCCTTGCTATTTCGACACGGCGTTTCTTTTCCGCCGGCTTTTGGGTATTATATATTCGGCGGAAAAGGCGATAAAGATAGGGTCTTTAGGCTACTGCTTGCTGTCTATCACCCCAGGAATCGATATGTGTTGAATCTCGGAGCTGATGCCTCCGATGACGAACGTTATAATTTGGTTGTGGCTTTGAAATCTGTTCCTGCTATAAGGAACTTTGAAAATGTAGATGTTATCGGGAAGCCCGATCGGTTTTCGTATATGGGTTCTTCGTATATTGCTGCCACGTTGCATGCTGCTGCTCTTTTAATGAAGTTTGATCGTGGCTGGGATTGGTTTATTTCTTTGAGTGCTTTGGATTATCCCTTAATTACTCAAGATGGTAAGCGTTTTCGGTTGATTCCTTTGTTTTTTTTTGGATTTATGTTGTTTTCTTTTGTATGCAATAGCTAGGAGAATTGAGGTTTTGATTTGGGAAAACAGTTTTAGTTTGGATATACATGATCTTGATTCGATTGGAAATGTTCGAAATTCGGATGATTTCGAACTCGTTCAATACATAATGTCATTTCATAAGAAATTGGTCTGAAAAATTTTCTGATTCAAGTATACTTTATGATCTTAGATTCAGCAGATGTTCTGAATTGGTTTAGGTTGTTTTTTGATTGGAAATTAGTATAGTCGATTTAAGTTAATCTCAATCGATGGTTTCCTTTTAGTTATAGTTGCTGTTTTGCTTGGATCCATTCTGCCAGAATTTGGTGCAACACTTCTAATCTTACAATATTTCCTACAATCAAGAAATTCGACATGTTTTGGGAATATTGTACATAATTCAATGAAAATTCTCTTAGTTTGATCATGTTTCTGACTAGTTTCTAGCTTCATTTAAGTATATTGATTCAGGTATAGTTGATTTTGAGACATCTGATTTGGAGAATAGATAAGCAAAGCCTAACTATATGGAACAAATACTCCGCTACATAATCTTATATACATGACAGATAGGCCATCAGATTGAAAGACTAGAAAGTTTGTCGGAGAGGATGACTGGCATATGTTTCTCTTAACGACTCGCTTGAAGTTTTGCTAAAATTTTTAATTTCAATGGATGAAACTCTGCGCCAAATTTCTACCAGGAACAATGGTTTGGTTATGCCTGATCTAACATTCTCAATTTTTAAATTTCTGGGTTTGTTTTCGATACAGTTAGGCACGCATCAGTTCGGAAATGGTTGATTACTTTACATATGAGGCTAGATCCTTAAGCTAATACACTTTTAACATTTTGAAATGATCGATTTCTTCATATCGTTTTAATCGGAGACACCCCAGAAAATCATATATTTTGAGTTCTGGTTGAAAATGTGTGATGCCATTTCTTCAACAGAAATCATTCTAGCTATAGATTGCGTCTGTTTTGGTTAATTGCCTACTTAAGGATTAAAAAATAAATTAACTTTTTCATACAGCCAATTAAAAGTTACCTCTGCATACAAAATTAGGGAAAAGAAATAGGCAGAGCGGAATAATGATAGTGTTACGCATCTCAACTTCTGCAGCTGCTTAACTATGAGCGATTATTAAAAAACCGGTTGGTTGTTAAGTATTACAACAGTTAAAGGAACAAGGAAGGGGCTTACTATTCTTTGCGACTTTGGTGAGGAGAATTCTAGGAAGGAAGATTAATTAATTTGTGGAGCCGAAAGTGCTATGACTGAGTTTCTGGTGTTCTTTACTTGTTCTGTTACTTGCATTATTTGCGTATTTAAAACTTAATAATATTCTCAAAGTAGGCAGGCTGATAACCAACCATAAATCATTAGCACCAAACCTCGATGTCATATTGAACGAAATCTCATATGCCAATCATTTCCCTGCGATTCTTTTTTCTTCAAATTTCAATGGCAGGAGCTCTATGATTTCACCTTTCTTTTCTTACTTGTAGTGACCTTTTTTTCTCGTGTCTCAGATTTGTCGCATGTGTTTTCGTCTGTCAGGAGGGACCTCAATTTCATTGATCACACCAGTGACCTGGGGTGGAAAGAGTATACAAACCCTTTTCCTAAGATGCATAGATCACTTTGCTGCCTAATTGTAATTACATCTAATCATATTGGTTCATTCTGTAAGCAGAGCTCATCGCTTTCAGCCTATTGTAGTTGACCCGGCACTTTACCTGGCAAGGAGGACCAAAATTTTTCATGCTACAGAGAAACGTCCAATGCCCGATGCTTTTAAAATATTCACAGGCAAATTTTACAATCCATATCATTGCTCCCCAATTACTTTTCATGAAAATAAATTCTATTTGTGACTGTTGTCTTCTGTGGAGATGCTAACATCTTTAAGGGTTTCGTATTAAATTGCAGGTTCACCGTGGGTCGTGTTAAGCAGATCCTTTCTGGAATTTTGCATCTTTGGGTGGGATAATCTACCCCGGACACTTATGATGTATTTCAACAATGTTATGTTATCCGAAGAAAGCTATTTCCAGTCCGTCATTTGTAATTCGCCGGAGTTCAAGAACACTACCGTAAACGGTGATTTAAGATATATGATCTGGGACAATCCCCCAAAGATGGAACCCCATTATCTCAACATTTCTGATTATGGTCAAATGGTTCAAAGTGGGGCAGCGTTCGCAAGAATGTTTAGAGAGAACGATCCTGTATTGGACATGGTTGATGAAAAGATCCTCAAGCTCGGGCCAAAGCGAGCTGTCCCGGGGCCATGGTGCACTGGCCAGAACAGCTGGTGGAGCGATCCTTGCTCACAGTGGGGAGATGTAAATGTCGTGAAGCCTGGACCTCAGGCAAAGAAGTACGGTGAAACCGTAAACGAACCTTCTCGATGACTGGAATTCACAGTCCAATCAGTGCAAATGAAACAGGTGAATATATTACAGAGACTCACTGCATCCGAATCGTTCAAGAAAGGCTCAAAAGAACACCTTCGGATGAGATAAATTCTTTTGGTCTGTATGTCTTTATTCGTTTTGTGATTTTGTCGAAATCGACAATGTCGGCTTCAGGGTAGTGTTTTAATGGTGAAAAAATCCGACCAGAGTCCGTCGTTAACAGGACTTTCCTCTCGAGCTGCCCATTTGCATGTTGTTGTATGTTCTTAGGCACGTTGGATTGATTCTACAAACGCAGAACTCATTCATTAATTTCTCATCTCTGTTTCTGTTTCCAGCAAACAAAATTCAATTTGGTTGATCCAGTTGAGAAATCCTTTTTGAATTTTCAAACAATTCAAATTAAAGCTTTGACTATTTAATCAAATTATGCACATTCAAATTAACCTTAAATAAATTTCAAAAACTTGCCTGTCTAAGTTTTTAATATAATATTTCACTAATTTATCCTGTTGGGCATGGTAGATAAACTGCAAGTTTTCGACTAGTTTATCTCAAACATCAAAATGGGTGGTGTTCGATTTCTGGATTTGTTGTCTAAAACCCCTCGAAAACCTATTTCTACTTCCCTTTGCACACGATCAGCAGCCGATTACTCACAGAAATCCATCAAGCATCAAATTTTGTGTCTTAACCCACTTGCCCGTTCATCCTCATTTGGATTTTCATCAACTCCACATATCATCTATAGATCGATCCATGCGGATTTAACTCCAAAAGATTCGTCTTTTCAACACTATGAGAAGAACCCCGAAGTACCCAAACTCCAGCAAGACGCTGCCATGATTTGCGCACTCCTCTCCAGCCGCCCTGGTTCTAACGCCGATGAATTGCTCGAAAATGCTTCGATTGAAGTGTCCCCTTCACTTGTGGCGGAGGTTTTGAAGAGGCTGAGCAATGCGGGTGTCATTGCACTGTCATTTTTTACATGGGCAGAGAAGCAAAAAGGATTTAAATACGATACAGAAAGCTACAATGCTTTGATTGAAGCTTTGGGTAAGATCAAGCAGTTCAAATTATTATGGAGTTTGGTGAATGACATGAAGAGTAGAAAACTGTTGAACAAAGATACTTTTGCATTGATTTCACGGCGGTACGCACGAGCCCGGAAGGTTGAAGAGGCTATAGCAGCTTTTGAGCGCATGGAGGAGTTCGGTTTCAAGCTTGAAGCATCGGATTTCAATAGATTGATTGATGTTCTGTGTAAGTCTAGACAAGTTGAGAAAGCAAACAAAGTGTTCGATAAAATGAAAAAGAGAAGGTTTGTTCCCGATATTAAGTCTTATACTATTTTGTTGGAAGGTTGGGGCAAAGAACACAACTTGTTGAAGTTAGACGAGGTTTACCGAGAGATGAAAGGTGAAGGGTTCGAGCCAGATGTTGTAACTTATGGTATTTTGATCAGTGCTTATTGCAAGGCTAAGAAGTATAATGCTGCCATTGAGTTGTTTCATGAGATGGCGGTGAAAAATTGTAAGCCAACCCCCCATGTTTATTGTACTTTGATTAACGGTTTAGGTTCAGAGAAGAGGTTAAGTGAAGCTCTCGAGTTTTTTGAACGTTTCAAGAGCTGTGGTTTTACACCGGATACACCTACATACAATTCGATCGTAGGAGCTTATTGTTATTCGATGCGAATAGATGATGCATTTCGAGTGATAGATGAAATGAGAACAAATTTGGTAGGTCCGAATTCAAGAACTTATGATATAATTCTTCATCACTTAATAAGGGCTGGGAGGACGAAGGAAGCTTACTCGGTATTCCAGAAAATGTCGAGTGAGCCAACCGTGAGTACTTATGAAATTATAGTAAGGATGTTTTGCAACGAGAATAAAGTGAATATAGCAATGCAGGTTTGGGATCAGATGAAGGCTAAGGGAGTGCTTCCAGGGATGCATATGTTCTCGGATTTGATCACTGGCTTGTGTCACGAGAAAAAGTTAGATGATGCTTGCAAGTATTTTAATGAAATGCTTGATGCAGGTATTCGACCTCCAGCCAAGATGTTTAGCTATCTGAAACAGGCACTACTTGATGAGGGGAAGAAGGATACCGCTATAAATTTGGCTCGGAAAATTGATAAGCTGAAGGGAACTCCATTAGTTGTTGGAGGCCAGAAGTGAGGGAATTTTGGATGTAATGCTGGTTCCCTTCTGGATGCTATGAGCTCCCGCCATTGTAATCGAACGTCGGCTGTATGCTCGGTGTTGCCATTTGCATGTTGCAAGTTCTGAAACTTCAACACCGTGCTGTAAGTTTTCTTTGATATAGTTTCTTAGAATGGTCTGAGATCCGACTCTTTATGGGGGATTATCTGAATATCCACTATCTTTTGGACATTTGATTGCATCTATCTGTATGTTCATGAATGAACTTTTAAGGATGGAAAAAATATTACTATTATTTAACCCAATTCGTGGAATCTTAACCACTGATAATCCGAAATCTTTCTTTTCGAACCCCTATGGTTCATTGTGGTGAGATTTTGAGATGCAAGCCACTAGTCAAGTACTAATTATCTTTCTTTTGGATTAAACCACCTTTTACACTGCTTTTTTCATTGATTTAGTTGACTCTAGACGATGTAAATGGAGGTTGCCAAGGCTCATACTCAGAGTGGACCAAGGAATGCACGTGCGGTCGCATCTGGAAATTTTAAATTCTTATATAGTTTAGGTTTTTTTATTTTTTATTGATAATCTAATTTTGCATCCATGAAGTCTTATAATTTCGCATCCCAAAACTTTTAACATAAATTCCTAAGTTTGCACTTCTTATTATAAGATCATGTGTCGGTCTGTGCTCATTTTTAAGGTTTGTGGTAGGGGTGTTCAAAAATACTCGACCCGTTGACCTAACCCGACTACCCGAACTAAAAAAGCTGGGTATTTTTCTAAGAAAAACCCGACCAGGTCGGGTACCTAAGCCGATAATTTTCGGGTCGAGCTCGGGTCACAAAATTTCATTTTTCAGATACCCAGTTACTCGAATACCCAATTATAATTATTTTTTATATATTATAATATTACATATTCAATTATTAATAATTTTATATATTAAATTAAACTAATAAAATAAAAAAACTATCCACCCAATAATTGTATGTTTAATAATTAATATAATATATTTTTAATAATATAAGTTTTATTTAAAAAAAATTAATAATTAAAAAAATTAAAAATCAATTACCTGATTAGTAGAATTACGGATACCCGTAAAATCCGAATAACTAAGTACCAATACCCGTAATACCCGAGTCGAAACACGGGTCAAAAAATCTAATATCCGAAAATACGATACCCAAAACTTTGGGTACCCGAATTTTAACACCTCTAGTTTGTGGTGTTTTAACACCTGGCTCTGATACCACTAATAGAGGGGATGAATACCAGGAAAATCTACAGATAATACTGTAACAGGTATGTTATGCCAAAACCAAGGCCACCACAGCCATAAACGGCACTGCCTGTTAGTCACAACATTTTTCCATAGATTTTACTAATATACATTCTTCTACCAGGATCTCATTTCCAAAGAACTCACGGGAGATCTATTTACATACCTTTAAGACTTAGAAAGAATAAAAGAATTGTTTAGAAACTCATGAGGATTCAAAAACACGATTTTTATTTAAGGCTAAGTTCTGCCATTTACAATCCACACCATCTCCTTTTATCCACACAACGAGACTATTACCACCTAAAATATCTTACACAGAAATTACATTGGATTCCAGACAAAGTCTGGTGCTTACTAAAGTAATTAAAGCACTCCAGTACAATAATAATTAAAACACTCGTTATATTATTAAAGTACTACAACGATATGTCACTGTAGTCAGTCGATTCATCTGAAGTGATATTTAGCTCAATGACTCTGTCTTCCTTTTCCTGCTTTCTTTTGTAGCATTTTAATTGATAAGCTTCATATCGTGCTTCTGGGTCCATTTCCATCTTATCTTCTTCTGGTGCTGGGACCAGATTTGTCTGTTGTGATAATGGATGTTCTGGTGGTTGTGATGACTCACCTCTTTTACTGGCAACACTATTGATCCACGGATATTCTTGAGACCATTCTGATGGATCTAGGATCATCTCTTTGAATGCTTTAAGGGCCTCCATTATTGATTTGTAATAGGGAGTCAGAAGTGAAGGGTCACTAGGCCAAGTGTCCCATGGTGCATCAACATCAGGAGGGGGCCAGACTTCAATAGGAATTTGTCTGTTTATCTGGCACAAGTATCTTTGAAGATCTCTGTATTGTTGATTGAGCTTTCTGACATCATCAGGGTAGATTCGATGTATCCAAGCTGTTGGTAATGTGCCAAGTTGCTTTGCAGCTCCATGTTGCAGGAAATAATATGGTTTGTAAAAGACGATCAGGATATACTGTCCTGGAGTTTTCTGTGCTTCTGTGTTCACCATTTCAAGCCATTGGGGTAGAGGATAGAACCATTCCAAAATGACAAAAAGATTTTTTAGTTCAGGATGGATCATAGATAACTCTGGTTGAGCTTTTCCTCTAATGGCTTTGTCAAGAAAATACTGAAGATCTTCTAAGTGGAACTGGATGGCTACATGGTGTATATGTGTAAAATACCATAATAACCATTTTAACTCGTCTGGTACTTCAGTAAATTCAAAAGGAATTGGGTGAATAAATGGATAATCAGGATGAAGTCCATGAGGTTTGAGAAAAAGACCTCCATAGAACCTAAAAAGTTCTAACTGGTATTCAAAGATCATATCTCGGGCCTTGGAATGAAATGTTCCTTCTATTACCAGTCTATATACTTCAGGAGGAAATTCTGGGTTTAGGTTTGGAGGAATGGAAAAAGCTGTTTCTGGTTGAGTCTTTGGTTTCTTTGGTGGTTTTGAAGAGGAGGAGGACGATGCTCTGTACATCATAATTTTATGGATTTGGTTTTGTGGTGGTCTGGACAAAAGATCTGCAAGAACTTTAGTTTTACCTTTGATGTGTTTGCAGTCAAATGAATATTTTGAAAACCATTCTGCCCATCTGAGAAGTTGAGGATTTGGAATCACCTTTTGCTTGAACTTCAGCATCTGAGGGAATGATGACATATCCATTTCAACTAAGAAATGATATCCAATGAGATGGAATTCAAACTTAGTTATGCCTTTTTTGACTGCAAGGATCTCCTTGAAAGTGGAGTGATAATGGATTTCTGCATCTGAAAATCTTCCACTTTTGTATCCGCAAACATACCGTTTCTGATCTTTTTCTTCCAGTAGAACAGCACCCCAGTATTTGTCACTGGCATCTGTCTGAAGTATCCTTTTTCCATCTGAAGGGATCTGCAATGGTGGTAATTGTTGAAGCTTTTCTTTGAGTACTTTCACTGCCTTGGTTTGAACGTCTTTCCATGGAGGAGGATCTTTTTTTAGCATTTTTCTTAGAGGATTAGTATACTTTGAGATTTTAGGAATGAAATCTCGTAAGTAGTTTACAATCCCCAAGAATTGCAAAATTTGTTTCTTTGTAAAATCCTTCTCTGGATATTTGAGCAATTCCTGAGCAATATGAGGTCATGGATGATATTGTCCTTTTTTGAGATTCATCCCCAGGAACTGGATCTCCTGTTGACAAATCTGCATCTTCTTTTCTGATAACATAATCCCATATTGTAGAACAAGTTGTCTAAACTTTTCCAACAATTTGAGATGGGATTCTTCATCTGGGCTATATAAAAGAATATCATCAATATAAATAAGAGCATTTTCCATAACAGGCTGAAAGATTTTAATCATTGCCTTCTGGAACAGTGATGGGGCAGTTTTGAGTCCAAATGGCATAACCTTCCATTGGTAGTGATGATTAGGAATGAAGAACCCTGTCTTGGGCCTGTCTGTTGGGTTTATTCCCATTTGCCAAAAACCTGCTTTAAGATCAAATTTTGAAAAAATCTGGGCTCTTGCTAGGCTTGAGAATAGTGCATTTCTGTTGGGCAGTGGGAACTTATCATCTTGTAGAAACTGATTAAGTGGCTGGTAATTTATGACCAACCTGAGCTTTCCTCGTGCTTGTTCTGACCTTTTGTTGACATAAAATGCTTCACATGCCCATTGTGAGTCTGATGGTTCAATCAATCCTTGTTGCAAGAGATCAACACATTCTGATTCTGCTAGCTTCTGGTGTTCAGGATTCATCCCTGAATGACTAGCTTTCGTTGGAATGATATCTTCATTCTTCTTGAAAGGTAGTTGGATAAAGAACTCCGAATTTCTCCATAATGGATGGTCACATTTGGATAGGAATTCCTCATGTGATTCTGCACAAGCTTTGACTTTGAGTTCTTCTACAGCTCCATTGATTCTTTGCTTGGTCTCCAATAAGTATAACCTGGAAATTTCCACAAATGGTTTAAACATTTGTTTATATTTAAGACCATTAGGTAGAATTCTCAAATGTTTTGCCTTGGTATATAGGTCAAAACCTACAACCAAATCTTTTCCAGGTAATTGTGAACCTAGAACTATGGTTGTAACAGCACATCCTGGAAAGAATTGAATAGTTATAGGCTTGCTGATGAGGTGCGTAGCAAATGTCTGGTCTGCTGCTGAATTGAAATATCTGGTATGAGGTTTCCACCATTCTGGGGGAAGGACTTCTGGATTCATGATTGTCTCCGCTGCTCCAGTGTCAATAAAAGCAATCACTGAGATAGCTTTTCATATTTCCCCAGGTAGACAGTTGCTGGAACATGTGGTATAGGAACCACTGAAACTATTGAGGAAATGATTTTGCTTTGAAGCATAAAGACTCCTTCTGTTTCAGAAAACTCATCTTCTGAAGAATCTATAAGGTTTTGTATTGCAAAAAGAGTCTGATCAGTTTGTTCTTCATCAATAGAGAAAAGGGATTCAACATCATCATCTTCCCTTATCTTGATTCCTGTTTTCTCCTAGATCTGCTGGATCATCTTGGAGCTCTTCTTGTTTTTGGGACAGTTCTTTGCAAAATGTCCTTTCTGACCACAAACATAGCATTTTGAAGATTTTACACCTGTGGCTTTCTTCTTTCTCAAATATCTCCATTTCTTTTTCCCTTTTTTAGGAATGAATGGATATTGAGAATATTTTTTTGAATATTTCTTGCCCCTGGTACGAGGTTTGCAATGGCATGTTTGAGATGGTTTACACTTAATAGTAAAACCTTTCTCCTTGCAAGCCTGATCTAGCTCTCTGGTTCCCGTCATGTAGTCTTTAATTATCTTCTTTCTGTCACAAAGTTCTTCAACTGCAATAAAT